TTTTTAGTCAATTTTTTAATTACACTAGCTTTTAATTTGATTTTAAATATTGCCTCCAAAAGTGGATCTGGTGTTAACAATTCATGTGGGATGTGTAATATAAACGATAAAATTTCCGAACTTGTTGGACAATTCTTAAGAATGTGATCACGAACACAATCTAACATTGCCAATCCTACTCTAAAAAATAGGTTTGTGCCCTCAAAATAAAATATATCCCAAATTCGTAATACCGATGCCCACGGTAATGCCATTGTAAACAATGTCATAAACCATTGTGTCATATAAATTAATGGAATTATATCATTATCAGCCTACATATATGACAAAAGATATAATTAATTAGTTAAGATTTCATATTATAAATATAATATAAAAAATACAATATTAATCCTCGGAAATTTAATTACCAAATGTTTTGATAATTTAGGGTCATGTTCGGCTAAAAGTTTTTCAAATATAAAAGCATCAATACGTATTTGTGCTAAGGTGGGTGTATAATAGTCGTTCATATATCCATCAATTGTAGCCACAAGAAGCCAAAATGCATCTTCTGCTGGCATTTGCATAAGCATCATTCCAACCAACCGTCCCATCCCCTGACAATATCCTATTTCTGGATTATAGTGTGCATATGCTTTAAGAACATCATAGAGATCTTCTTGTCTGTAAATAAGTCAAATAAATGTAAATATAAATAGAAATATAAAATATAAACATATACATATATAATGCAAGTAAATTAAATCATTGGGATTTTTTTTACCCTGAACCTGTCTCTTTACGAAATTGAATGTGATCAGGATAACATCTATTTATATCTCTCTCAATCACATCATATATTGGGAGATCGGGTCTTTTTCGAAGTTCCTATAAAAAACACATGTAATATTATAATATAATATATTAATAGAAAGTTTCAAAAAATATTACATCAATCAATCAAAGAACTTACATCATAATATCGATACTTTCTATACTTTTCTGCACCTGCCATAAATTGCCATGATTTACCACGGACAGATTCTGGAATACCAAGGCGTGCCAATTTTTTAATCTAATAATTAATAGATTGATCAAGTTATTTATTGAAATCTTATTATCTATAATAATTATTAAATCAAATCATACTTTTTTTGAATCTCTTGCCGTATTAGGATTCATAGTACCAAGAGCAACCAACCATTTGGCCTCACGTTCACGATATAACTTAATAACTCGTGTAGTTTTTTCCTCTGCACCGGGTGCTTGTACTCTAAAACATGAACATTTGTATGAATATAATTTATAATTTACAATTATTTACAATAAAAAAATTCTGTATATTTGAAACATACGTTCTTTTAGTTCGATCAGCTCCTGGTGGGATTTCTTTTTCAGAAACATCATAAACAAAACCATATTCATCAATTGCAAGGATTTTCTTTTTTATGCTTTTAGATTCACCTGAATTGGCAGGTTTATTGATTTCCTTTTCAAATTTATCCATATCATCTGCCTCATCTTCAGTGGTAATATCACTTTCGTAAACACTTAATCGCTCATTAGGTATTTGAAGTGTTTGTGGTGTATAATCTATTTTAACAGTTGGAATTGTTGTAGATTTTTTATTAACATTATTGTTACTACTGCTACTATTACTATTATCATTACTACTACTATTATTATTATTATTATTATTAAATATTGATGGCAGAAATGCAAAAAAAAAGTTAATTTATATTTGATAAACATCATTAAATATGTATAATTTGATTTTCCAAAGAAAAACAAATAACTGTTGGAATCATTAAAAAAGCAAAAAAAAATTGTTATATATATTCATATTGTAGACCAACGCACTAACATTTAACTTAAATCTTCATCATCAAAATCATCAGGAAAATCTAATTATTAAAAAAATTTTTTTTAATAAAAATATGTCTTTTAATATGAGTAATTAAAGTTTTCTTTACCGTTAAAAAACTCTTGATCCACTAATTTGTCAATTTGTTGTTGTTGTCTATGATGTCCACCTTTATGGTGGTGATGTGGATGTGTTGGGCTAGGAAAGAAATTTTCATCGTATATGCCACTACTATCAACAATACCACTACCATCGCCTTGTTGTCGGTTATGATGAGGATGGCTACTTCCACCACCTTTGTCCCCTCTCCCTCTACTGCTCTCTCTTTCATCGCCACTTCTTTCTTTTTCTCTATCTCTATCTCTATAATCTCCACCACCTACTTCATTATCTCTGCCACTTTCTTTTATAAACTCTGATTGAGGTTGGTACGATGAGCCTCCATCTATTATCATTTGTCCATCATCATATTCATCCATAACCATTTGTTCCATTTGTTCCATTTGTTCCATTTGCTCCATTTGTTCAAAATATTCCTCCTCTTTATGATTGATTATTTATTAATTAATACCATAATTAAATATATAATAATAATAAATTAAAGTTACTAGTCGTTACCTTCATCACCTTCAGGTAGCTGTGACATATTGTTATTAGTACCTTCCACCGTTATTGTTTTTGTCTTTGATCTTTACGGATTACCTATCGTGAAAAATTTATTATTACTACTATTGAATAAAAAAATTATATTTACTTGTGTAGCCTTAATTTATGTGTCCGTAGTAAAAATCATTTTTTTTTATATTTTTAGTATTCGTTATTTCATTTATTACAAGTCTACTATATGATTTTATTCTATCATCTTTATTTATATCTTTCTTTTATTTTTGGATTTACAAATTCAGGCATGATTTTTCATTTAATTCATTTATTGTTAGTACACAAATAAAAAAATTGATTTGTTATAATAGTATTATTTTTGATACATTTTAATATTATCATTTTTTATTGTTATTTGTCTAAATTCACAAGATCTTTATTAAAGTAATCATTTAAAAATATTATTGATAAATTCTTAATGCTATTGCTACTAGAAATGCCGCCATTATTATTACTACTACTAATATTATTCTCTGATTTTGATAATTCTTCGATTTTTTTCTTAACAGATCGAGTTAAGATTGCTATAAATAATATAAATAATCAGGATTAAATGAGGCCGTGTGAATTATATTATATTCATTTTATTATATTAATTACTTACATGTTTTTGCAATTTCAAGTGTTGGTGGTGTCAATAAAAATATTAGAATCGTTATTGCAGCTGTTAAAATATCCTCATTATTACTGTTTAGACAATCTATTATCAATGGTATTCCTTCATTATTTATAATATATTCTTTATTTCTTTGTTCTTATCAAATCAAATTAGTTATTATTAATTAGTTAAGCGATAATGGTTATTTAATGGTTAGTTGATCATTATTATTTATACTACTTAATTAATTACCTAAACATAAATTACATAATCCTCCAATACCAAACTCTTTTAATTTCTCATCATTTTCAGTCAAAGCATCTAAACAATAAAACCATCATTATTATTAAATATTGAAATATCCACAATATTAATTAATATATCAATAAATATTATAAATAATCAAACAATTACCAATGAACAAATCAACAATATTCAATTCAAAAAGCCAATCATAATTAATTGGATCATAAGCAAAATTCGCTAAGTTCGCAAGAACTTGATATTTTGACTCTAGAAAATCATCATCATCACATAATCATTAATATTTAATTTTCTTTATTATAACAATTGTCCTATCAAGTTTGTTTACCTTGATCTTTTGTATCTTGATATTCGTTAACAAGTTCTTGTAGATAATCAGGTCTGTATTATTATAAATGCAGATCATTGTAAATGTAAAGTTTTCTTTTTGTAGAAACAAAATTTACATGCCTGCTTGTTCCTGCTTTTCCGATTTTCCTCTTTAATTGATTATGTGATGTAAACATTAATTTTTTTGAAAATTAACGATCGACATACCAAAAGATTTATTGGATTTTTTCACCCAATTTTCCTGCGCCACAACTACAATTTGAACCGGGAAACGACACGAATATATTTTACGTATATGCATAATTTGCAAATTAATATGTTCATATTAATATGTTTTTTAATACATTAACTTGTGCACATTCTACGTCAAGGGAAGTGGTGGATATGACGTAATTATTGGTTGATAGTGCGCTTGACCCCTCCCCCATATCAGACATTAAAGTCTTGCAAATTTTGTTTAAAATAAAATATTTCAATTTTTGATTCGAGGTCTTTTAATATTTAAACAGACAATTCAATTTGGTATTCTACTATTTGCTATGTTGTGGAACTTTGCACAATACCTAACCAAAGGATGGTTTAGATTTGGGTTTATGCTTCATTATAATTGATTCTTCGCACTCTGTATCAACTAAACTTTTGGTTATCTGATTAGTGCTATTAGTTAAGAAGAGGTAGGAGTAGTTGAAGAAGATGCGATAGTAGTGTCGCTTCCTTTATTATTGTTATTTAAATATTCTGAGTGTTTTCATTAGTAATAAAGTCTTCAAGACTTGAATCATCTTACAAATCATAATATGTGACCTTTTCCAGTAAACAATTTTATAGATTAGATCAAAAGTGATTATACGATACAAAACTCAAAAAAAACCATTTTCCTACAAACAAAGAGGGTCCAATATTTTCACCCGTGTAAAAAAAAACAAATTTGGTCAGATGACCTTGAAGACTGTTTTTGCTGGAAAAGGTCCCATATTTGATCTATAATAATAATACATTTGTGTGTAATTATTAGAAAGATCTAATTGAATCAAAATACCTTCAAACGTTAATAATAGTTAAATCATCTGTAGAAAGTTTCGTAAATTTGCTTCTTTTTTTTTCTGAAAAAAATTTATTTTTATTTTTAAGCTTGGAACTAATGGTTTCTGACATCACTCTAATAAACTTGCCCTTTCATTTTTTAAAAAATAATTGATAATAATTTTGGAACACAAAACACGAAAAATATTTATTTTAACAAGAGAATTAGGCATTCGTTAATAAACATAGAAGTGTTATGTGTTATTTATTAGTAATAACCAGAGATTTTCTTTTTTTTTTTAATATATTAATAAACTTTTTTTTTTATTTACCAAATAATATGTATAAGATATTGGGCACGCAACGGCCAATATCATGACGTCCTGGATGTCACTGAAATTGTCCATCGCACGCCCAATATCGATGTTATCGGGCAATCGCTATTAAGCTATTCTTTCAAACGTCACCGTTTATTAAGTTTAATTATATGATTTAATTATATCTTATAGAAATGTATAAATAGTATATCAATCATATTGACGTCATTTTGTACCTAAAATAACAAAGCAACCAAAAATGGCTTAATAATATTGTTTGCCCAATAACTTTTAATATTCAATTACTATTATTACTATACTATCCTTAAATTTACGCCAAATTTGGCGTAGACTTTCGAGTTAGTGCAGACCCCACCAAACGGAAAATTACCTTTTTTTTTTTTCCTCGGAAAATAAATAATGCGGAAAAACATGTATTCAAAAAAATCCTTTTTAAAGTTGTTATCTTGGGATGTCTGGTCTAAACTGCAAAGTATGCGAAGATACTTGTAATAAACAAGGTTACTTGGGGAGAAAAAACAGTTTAGAATACAAATTTTTACTTTAATTTGTACCCAATTTGGGCAAAATCCTTTAAATATTACAAAATGAATAAATTAATTATTATTACTGTGATATTCAACAAAACAATTTCTTAAACATAAAGCAACATCACATAGAGTACAAGATACATGTGAACGATTATCATTGTAGCATTTATTCCTTCTTCCTGCCTTTTGATATTTACAATACTCATTACAATCCTATTTTCTCTATATTCAGGAAAATGATTTCCTGGTGTCAGTCTTTATGATTCACTATAATAGTATTTTTTTAAATCATACCATTGAAATTTTAGATCAGGCGATATTAAAAAAAAATCGTACAATACAAATTACCACACCCGGTGTTAATACTGAAATGGTACAGTGCAGATCATCTATACTCAAAAGTCAAAATTTTTGAAATATTATGTGATCCACACATTGGATTTTAAAAAACCCACCACCATTCAATTCAGCTTTAAAAGGGGAGTCTATTAATCTAAAAAAAAATTTGTCTCAAATTTTCTT